GATTAAAACTTTAGTCTTTATAAATTGAAATTTCCTTTTGTCAGCTCCATATATCCGTATAACTTTTCAACAGCAATTTTACAATGGTTACAAAATAATTATCCTGTGGATGGCGCGGCCTTCGTGCAACCGGGTCCCGGGAGTGTATAGTATATTTACTTACAGATTTACTTGTGTATATTGGAAGCAAATACAGATGTGACGTAGATCAATGAAATATTCTGAAGATATCTCCATGTGAATTATTCTATACCCGAAAGATTCGGATTGTCAGGGAAACAACTACTTGAAAAATACAAGGAGAACTTCTTATTTTTCAGTTGAAATAGACAATTCCCATTATAGACTAATTTTAAAACTAGGCAAGGAGATGCAAATAAATCACCACAGCTAGAAAGAGCATACTAAAATGAGTAAAATTGCAAAGTTTGGTTGCGAAATGTTGTAAAGTACGGAAAATATAGCCTTGCAAAGTTTTGTCTATCCTCTATTAATATTGTCTATTAATATTGGCGCTACCTACACTCGCACAGACAGTTTATAAGATTATATTTTATACCAGACATAAACCTTTCCCAATTTGTTTTGTAGGGGACATCAGTGGGAATGCGGAATGGCGCCTCATGAATGAGCTTCTTCGTAGATATAAAAATAGGCAGAGTTTACGTGCAGTTACGTCTTCTTCGGAAGCTGTGAATGTCACTTTGAGCATGAAGATGGTTCAGATCATTGAGCTTGTGAGTAGAAAGATATGAAGAGGCATTTTTTTTCAATCTCTTGTATTTACGATGAAAAGTGGCCAAAACCTAAAAACGTTTTGGCGTTCCTCTCAAAATTACTTTGTTTTAGCTTTATTTTGTATAGTTTACACAGTTAGCAACCTTTTTCAACAGCGACCCCCCATAAGTTACTTATCCAAAGAACTGTCTCGTTCTTTAAGAACTCCTACTTATTTTTGCTCATGAATGATCTAGTTCATGAATTAAAAGTGTCTTTAGTAAATAAAATAGGGTTTATCAAAGAACGAGGCAGTTCTTTAGAGAACTAATTTATAGGGGACATCATTTTTCTCCCCACATATACAAGGTTGCCACCATCTGAATAAACATTTTTATTTTCTTTTAGAAAGAAAAAATTCAGATGTTCTCAGCCAGCGTTTGGATTGAACAAGTAACTTAAACTAACTTTATTTATGCTGGATATTTGTATCAGTTCTAACCTGTTCTTCCTAGAGGTCCAGTAAAGATCATCTCTTATTGATCCAGTGTTACTACAGGAGGAAACCTAAACTAAACTAACTTTATTTATACTGGATAGCTCTATCAGTTCTAAACTGTTCTCCTATAGAGGTCCAGTAAGAATCATCTCTTATTGATCCAGTGTTACTATATGGGGCATTTCTTACAAATCTTTCAAAACTTAAAATTTGTCTATGCAAAATTCCTACTGTGATCACAGAAACTTTGATAGTGTGAACCAGAGCCCTAGCTCTGTACTTCTCCCTAGGTATGGCACGATTCATTACTCACCTGGAATACTAGTGACTACAATGTCTCTGAGATCAGCATTCCTCCAAACGATATTTGGGTACCTGATATTGTTTTGGCCAACAAGTGAGTTTTTGTCTGAAATTCCATCCTGGGTTTTACTAGTTAGACTAAGCAGTATCGTGAAGCAGATGCTGGTCAACCTGCAGTTATCAGAGTGAGAAAATAATGTTCATTCTTTTCGTTTTATGCAGTAGTCTTGTATTTGGAGGCCAATAAATAGAATTGAGAGATGAATTCTCTCGCTCCAATTGGTGTTAACATTTCTAAAGTTGACGACCATCTGCAACCAATAGGTTTCAATAGCATGCACTACAACATACACACATAAAATTCTCACAACTTGTCAACAATTAAGATGTGTTCGCAACAGGCTTGTAGCAAGCTTGTCAACAAGTTGTAACAATGCTGTTATTTTATCAAGTTGCTACAAGGTTGTCACTCACAACTTGTTGACAAATTGTTGAATTGCAGGACGATAACAAGTTGTTGGAACAACTTG